TGACTCATTGGAAAAGACCCTGATGCTGGGAGGGATTGGGGGCAGGAGGAGAAGGGGACGACAGAGGATGAGATGGCTGGATGGCATCACCGACTCGATGGGCATGAGTTTGAGTAAACTCTGGGAGTTGATGATGGACAGGGAGGCCTGGCGTGCTGCGATTCATGGGGTCGCAAAGAGTCGGACACTACTGAGCGACTGAACTGAACTGAAGGTTGTTAGGTGAGTAAACATGGAAATCAGTGATTATTGTATTATATTATGTAGTTTCCTAAGTAAATAAAACTAAAGTTAAGATAAAAAAGCAGCATTGCAAATGCAGCTTCTAACCAGCTGCTCACCAATGACCCGATACACGACTGCACACTGCAGGCGTGGCCTGCCATCGATGCTCCTTTGACACCGTCATTACCACGTGCTCTGATTATTCACCACTTTTCTTCTTTATTCAGGCCAGCAATCATCACGTACATAAAGAAAAGTTTTCTTTAAAATGAAATAAATGAATTGTGACTCAAAATATTCTGACTTCAGGAGCTTTTAGACTGTGAAAAATTACCTTTTTCTTCTTTAAGATGTCTCATTTCTGCTTTTTCTATAGAGATCAAATGACAGAGTCATATACATATTTATTCAAAATATTTTGACTTCAGGAACTTTTAAACTTTTAAAAATTACCTTTTTCTTCTTTAAGATGTCTCATTTCTGTTTTTTCTATAGAGATCAAATGACAGAGTCATATACATATTTATTCAAAATATTTTGACTTCAGGAACTTTTAAACTTTTAAAAATTACCTTTTTCTTCTTTAAGATGTCTCATTTCTGCTTTTTCTATAGAGATAAAATGGTAGAGTCATATACATATTTATTCATAGGTCTTTCTAAGTTTGAAATTACATATTTTGCAGTCAATATTTACAATTCAGGAGTTATATGAAAAGAACTTTATGTTGTTAGTATAGCAATAACAGATGGAGTTTGCTTTAAGGTCTAACTTCCAGTTCCCCTTAGATATCTAATAATAATGCAATACTACACTCCTCACACGAATAACCCCCCAAATAGCTGCAATTCTGATATATGCTTTAAAACCAATGTCCATATTTTCATGAATTGCTTTTTTAAGTGACATAATTTGTATAATTACATATTTTTGATTCCTGTGCTTTTGTCACTAATTTGATATACATGCCTTAAAATGTATTTACCTTTACTTTCCTTTTCAGATTTTTCAATTTTCTTTTTTGCTAGGGAGGAAAAATAACAAGAAACCATTGGCTTAAAAACATAATTTTCTTACTCAGTTTTGGAGTAAATATTTGCAGATGAAACTTGATCCCATAAGTGGTAGAGGGTCAAGGTTCTACTTTTAAAGATGTGAAGATAAAGTCTCCCTCCCTTGTGTAAGAACATATATATTTCTGTTATCCTTGGTTATTTCATTTTATAAAGCACAACCCCCTCCTTTTGTTTTCTGGCTTTATTTTTGTACATGCTTTCAAGTAAAGCTAGAGTAAGCCATGCATTTATTAATAAGCTTAAATTAGTAACAGAAAAAACTCTTTAAATTTTCTATTGTTACCTTTAGGAAATGAAAATTTGATTAGTGCTATGAATACTCAATAAATTCACTGTTGAGTAAAAACAAAGATTCACAACATATCTCTGAGGAAAATGTGGACACATGCTTTTTATTTTTTTATTTTTCATTTATTTTTATTAGTTGGAGGCTAATTACTTTACAATATTGTAGCAGTTTTTGCCATACATTGACATGAATCAGCCATGGATTTACATGTATTCCCCATCCTGATCCCCCCTCCCACCTCACTCTCCACCCGATCTCTCTGGGTACACATGTTTTTTAAACCAGAGTTTTGACTGACTGATGCTTTTCTTTATTTTTCAGACAAGAGTAAGAAGGACACCAATATTTAATGAGTGACAACCAAGCATGTAGTGGGAATGTTATATATGTTATTTCATTTAATACTTTTCACAAGCCTTTTGGAAAGTCATTATGTCTGTTCTATAGATTAGTAAACTGGGAATCTGAACTGTTAATGGATTTTCCCAAATGTTACACAGCTATATAGAGATTCAAATTTAAATACTATTCCTACAGATCTATGTTACCTCCTCTGGGAAAGCAAATATTTACCCGATTCTGTTACTTCTGGTGTTTCCTCTTTAGAAAAAAATAATAGAAAAAAGGAAGAAAAATAAAAGGAAAGAATAATTTTGTTTTTTAGTAGCAGACAACTGAACCTCATCTTTATGTTATTTTATATTAATTCCAAAAGTAGTGACAATAGACACATACTCAAATGGCAAAGAGATACATTGGTAACTAATATTTCTGAAAAAAAAACTGGTATCTATTCTGGAAATAGAACCACTATACAAATTAATATTAAATAATCTATTCATACATGGTAGAATGAATGAGGCTGAAGACCTTTGGGTGGTTTTCTCAATTACAAATTATAAATCTCCATTACATAAGCTTTTAACATGATTTGAACATGTGCATGCACACATTCATTTATTAACTTTTTATAAAGCAATTTCTTGCATAACAAGGACTTAGTGCAATGAGTGGGGTTGAGAGATTTTAAAATACGGCAAAAATAATCTCAACTCACAATGACTCCAGTCAGAGTAGTGAGACAAAATATAAAAATGTTATTTATTTGTCTTTAACCTATGATAATGTAGAATTAACCCTTCATTTTGCTCCTTCAGTAAATTTAAAGACCAATTATTTTTTAAAAATATGCTTTAAAAAATATATCCACACAAATTCGTTCAAATGATAGTATTTTCTATAAAACAGATACATTAAATGACCAGCCTAATATAACTTTTTTGAAGTTCAAGTAAAATTAAAATATTTTATAAGAACAAATATATATAATGTATAATGTTTTATAAACAAAACTGCATTTGCAAATAATTACGGTGATATTTCTTGTCAGTAATCTAGTTTTGACTTTCAGCCCTTAATTTTTGTAATAACTTTCATATTAGTAGCATTTACACAGACTAAATATACTAGATATTTTTGTCAACCCAAAGGCAACATTTATGTTCAACACTGGCATTGAATCCACTCAGAAGAAAATCATAGATGTATTCACGAGAAATCAGTCATAACACTTTTAAGGAAACAAGTTAGTCCGTGGCATTGAAAATCTTTAGACACAACTTCTAGTTACACTCTTGATTGAAATGTAAATATTTTACCCCCAGGGTAATGTCAAGGTCATAATTTAATAGCACTAAATATACAATTTCATTTTTATAAAATTTCATACATTAAAAAAATGATTCCTTTTTACTATTGCTTGAAATGTTAAAATAAAACAGTGATTCCGAAACACTAAAACAACTCATCTTTACCTTTTGAAGAAATATGAAAATAAAAAGCTAATATATTAAGATTAAATAATTGAAGATGGGTATTGTGTGTTCTAAGCTTGTTTTAACTCAGCAATGACTATAAGAGGAAACTACATACCGTATTTATTCAATATATCCTAACAATATATCCTAGTATATATCCTATATATTCAATATATCCTAACATATCCTATATATTATTCAATATATCCTTAAAGTACATAAAAGAGAGATGGAACCACTTTGTTTTTGTGGACAGTATTAGTTAAGGTAATTGCATTAATTACACAGATAATGACAACAAAAGTCATTTTAGGCATTCCCTCATATAATCTGCTATAGTGTAATTAGCACTCAAATATATGTTCAAATATTAATGAATAAAATACACACTATTATTTGTCAATAGGAATCATTTATGTAAGTAATGTCATAATAGCTACTGCATTAATAAACATACCACAATAATTTTTACCACATGGACAATTTAAAGAAATTATAAAATTTAAATACTTAAATAGAAAATTCTTTTCTTAATATAAATTTATTTATTTTAATTGGAGGTTAACTACTTTACAATATTGTATTGGTTTTGCCATACATTGACGTGAATCCACCACGGGGGGTACACTTACTTGGAGTTGGTTTTGGTTTGTCTAAAAAGTAAAAAAAAAAAGAAAAAGAAAGAAAAGAAAGGGTCATTTTCTGGCTATAGGTAAAATATCAGACTTTTATATTTCCTAATTCTATTTGAGTTAAAATAGGAAAAGGCTAACCTTATATTAAAATGAGCAATAGGCAATGCAATTTGAGCAATTTTTAGATTATGTTCTAATGAATTCCATATTCCAATAAAACTTCAAAGTATATAGGATCTTCTTGGTCTCTTTATCTTTGTAAAGCCTCATATTTCATCTGATGCAAAGTGAATGCTTAAGATAATCTGAACTCCTTACTGTTCCTGAATGGCATAAAAGACACATTCTGCTATTGTCCTTTCAGAACTTATTAATACTAATTAATACTAACTATTTAAACTTTTCCAATCCAGTCTTTGGAATGAAGAAGCTGACTTTATAAAATCTCAAGAAAAATGAGTGAATTGTTGGTGAAAAACACAAAACTATGCCATCCAAATACATGATTTGTTTCTTAAATATACTTTGTCTTCTGAAATTAACTACAAGCATTAATTATGCAGTCTTATATGTAAATATCTATTTATTAATAAATAACTAAATATTTCTTGATGATGGTGAAGAATTTGAATTATCTAAAATTAGATTAATTCATTAACAGAGGAAATATAAGTTAATACAATTTTTAGAGAACAATTAGAGAAACAATAAAAATTACATTGAATATGACATTTCACTAAAATATTTAAGGAATTTTATTCCTAAAGATAAATTTACAAAACTAAACAGATAATTATATTTATAATTGTATATTGTTTAAGAAAGCTTGTCAGATAACTTAAATATAGGTTAATCAGAGACTAGTTAAGTAAACTGTGTATAACAATACAACAGAATACTTAATGAAGAAATGCTTTGTGTACTGATACAGAAAAATCTTCAAATACACTCTTAAACAGGAAAACCTAGGGAAAGAGCTATTTATAGTATATCATGACTTGTGTAAAAAAGGTGAGTGTATATATATATATATATATATATATATATAAAATTTGTAGACTATCTTTTCTCCAGGGGATCCTCCAGACTCAGGAATTGAACCTGGGTCTCCTGCACTGCAAGCAGATTCTTTACACAGTTGAGCTACCAGGGAAGCAAATTTGTATGCAGGTATGTGTGTATATGTGGACTTACCTGGTGGTTCAGCTGGTAAAGAATCCACCTGCAATGTGGGAGGCCTGGGTTCGACCTCTGGGCTGGGAAGATCCCCTGGAGAAGGGCATGGTAAACCACTCCAGTATTCTTCCCTAGAGAATCCCCATGGACAGAGGAGCCTGGCGGGATGCAGTCCATGGCGTTGCAAAGAGTTGGGCATGACTGAGTGACTAAGCACATGTTTATATGTATATGTCTTTTACATATATTGCTAGATGGGTACATTAACCCATCAGACATTATTGGATACTTGGGAAGTGAGAGCTGGTAAAACAGGAAAAAAAGGGGAGGAAGGAAACTTATTTTTGCAGTGAACCTCCTGTATGCCTAATTGTTGAAACATGCCAAATATTATATATTTTAAAAATTAACTGAATTACAGTTTTAAAAGTATTAAGTTATTATAGAATTGGATGATTTCTATTTTAAGAAATTATACCAAGTTGAAATCCATGATTAATTTTCAGTGAAATATATATGTACAATTAGATATAATATTTTACAGCATAACCACAGTGACTCAACATTCATGCTCATGCTCAGCTGTGCCTGACTCTTTGTGACCCCATGGACTGTAGCCCACCAGGCTCCCCTGTCCATGTGATTCTGCAGGCAAGAATATTGGAATGGGTTGCCATTTCCTACTCCAGGGGATCTTTCCGACCAAGGGACCGAACCCATGTCTCTTGTGTCTCCTGCATTGGCAGGCAGATTCTTTACCACTGCACCACCTGGGGAGCCCCGAATCAACATTACCAGTATGATAAATGATATCAATACTGGCATCAGTAAAACACTGAATATTTTGCAAGGATCTTGTGAACCATGAAAGCAAATACTATTATGCTAACACAGCTGTATTATAATAGAATGCTTAGCATTCCATATATATTGGTTATAATATTTAGCAAACTACTTATCAACACTACCATAGCCCTTATGTCAGATAAACTAGATCCTATTACAAAATCACAAGACTAAACATTACCAGGAAAAAAAATGAAAAGTGCTTATATGCTTTGCTTTAATTTTCAAAGGTAATAAAAACAGTGAATTGGGATAGAATGCAAACCAAAAAGGCAAAAACACCTGTTTTTATAGACGGAATTTCTTTTCCTTGATGTTCAGCTTTTTCTAGAGAGAGAAATAAGAATTAACTCACAATCTGTAGATTGTTTGTGTAGCAAGCATTTCTTATCTATATATTTGGAGGTAATCCTCAGTTTGTATGGGAAGCATGCTCCCAAAGTCATTTGCATGTAACTTGGAACACAGAAAGCATATTGCCATGGAAACATGTTATAAACAAGATCAGGTTCATTCTCAGGGCATCCTGTAAGATACTTTGAAGATGCTAGCCCTCTTGGTATAAGAAGAAGATAGAAAATGATAAAAAGGAGAATAATTGTAGGAGGATTTTTCTTTCTTTGCTGAAGCTTGAGTCATTCTTTGGAGATATTTTAAAGCAGATGATATTTGTCTTGGCATTTTATAAGCTTCCTTTTTACCTCTCTGACTTCTTCCAGGTCCCTTCTTGGCAGGACAGAAACAATTTGGTGCTGGTCATTTGTTTCTTGTTGAAAATTTAACCTAGACTTGCCTTATTCCAGAAAGTATCACACTTTGTATTTTCATTTTCCTGAACTACCCTCTCATTTTAGGTTCAGTTAGAACTCTCACAGATGAATCTCAACTAAATCTAGCACATGACAACTGGAATCACAACATGTACTTAATATTCTTCTCGGACCTTTGAAAAATATTTGAATTAAAGTAAATTTTAGGAGATATCTTTCTTTCATCAGAAGTAGAATTTCAAATAAAGCTGTTTAGAGTAGGATATTTTGAATGGAGTTAGGATTATGTGGAAATAGAATAGATCACTGCCAAGTGCTCGTTCTTACTAATCACCCCCAGGTTTATTACCTGAGCTGTTCTGGTTTACTTGTCCTTTCCTTCCCTCAGGCTGAATTTGGAGATTCTCCAAAACAATATGATTTTTTCCCCATCATCTTGCACCAACAGTGAAGTAGGTGGGGAATTGTGGGATCTATGTTTTGTAAGATTTAATTGGATATTTATAAAGTAAGGATTGATAGCAGTCAAGAATGAACTTCCATGATCTTAAGATTGTATAACTGTTAATGTTACATAAGCATGCACAATAAAATAAGCCAATATTCAAGTTATTAAAACTGTGATAATAATAGTACTTCAAAACTATAATAAATTAAAGTAAAAATAATATAAACTATATATATTTTATATTGCATTCAAAATACATGCAATAAGTTCTAGGAGGTAAATACATCCTATTGAGGCTCCATATATTTCACTATATCTCCTGAATCACTAATATGACCTCTTAACTGCTCTCACCAAATCTATCTTCGGATCTTGTCAATTCATTTTTCATACTTGATCCAGAGAACATTTGACAAATATTCACTCATAACTTCATCTAAGCCTCTGTTTCACAAATACATATCATTCAAGAGCCAATATCACAATTCTGACACAACTTTGGATATATTTACTACTGTGACAATGGGCAAATGTTCATGCTTCTCTGAGACATTGGTCACTTTTTAAATTCTCTACACCTGTAACATATGTATCACTCCTGAGCAATGAAATGGATGATCTTTAAAATCTATGCTCATAAGAAAATTCCATGGTTTTAATAAACAGTTGAAAAGTTTAATAATTCATAAAATTATGAAAAACAATAATACCAAAGATTAGCTAACATAATTAATGCTGCTTAAAGCAAACAAGTCAAAAATAGTATGTGGTTCATAACACCAAAAAGTGTATATTATTTAATTTTCTTTTGTTATTCATTACATATGTTTAAAAGATTGCCCATTTATTCTAGCTTCTTAGTGTTATTTATAGCTTGTATAGTTTCACTCTTTTAGTATTAGTAATACAATTTCCATAGATTTCTTCCATACGACTATAGTGAATTATTAGTTAGTAGTGAAAGACAAAGATGTTATCAAAGCCAGAGCAATAACAGCAATTTATCACCTACAGAACTACTTTAGCTTTAGGCAAAACTAAAAATAATAATTGGGAAAAAATAAGCATATTGTAAAAGCTGAAATTGCCAAGTAATAGTTTTCAGATTTTATTTTCATCTCTTACTTGTTGGTTTGGGTTTGACTGTGGAGAATGAAAGAAAACAAATGACATATGATGAATACAAACTATGGAAAAAATAATGCTTTGGCACCTGTATTTGTTACTTCTTCATTTTAAGTTCTCCTTAAGATTAATTCACTTTCTCTGAACACTGTTATTTCACTGTCAGCAAATATGTTAATCACACTACTTATTGAAAACTAAGATGCCCAACCTTTGGGTAAAATTTGAACCACTCTATATATTTGAGACACAAATACATTGGGCTAGTTTCTTCATAATCTCCAAATACCCACATAACTAAATGATATACTCAAGGGGTCATATTAACACATTAGGGTGAAAATTAAATGAATGTTAACCAAAATTATGAGCTTAGGCAATGGTTGGGATACAATGGCCATATGAGGTAATGTGAAAATAGCCTTATGAGATTTCTTTCTGAAGAAATAATGGTTCACAGTTTCTATAAATAATTAGTTCTCTCCTGAATTCTATTATATTTTCCTCTGAGAACTATACTTAAACCCTGATCATCATGATTATCTATTAAAAGAAAGAAACTACCTCACAGTCCTTTTCCTTTGGAAAGAAAGAAATAGGACTCTATTCATGGCCAAGGTAGTAGGGTTTTCATTTTGGGATCAAATGGAGGCGATTCAGTCTTTCAGGATGTCAGCTGAGATGAAAACTTACTTTTGTTCATCCTTTTAGGACAGAACTTCAGAAATGAAAGAGTGTGTACATTTTTTTTCTCTCACATTAAAGGATGATTTGATATTATATATTCTGTTGATCATTTTTCAAGGCAGATATTAAAACATACAATCACATATAGTCTTTATGAAGTTCTCATGAATGAAAAGTATTCCATCTCATACATGAACAGCAGACAGTTCCAGATTTTTGTGATTTTAAAACTGGAGAAAGTGTGGTTTGAAAGTGAGGTTAAATGCCTAATAGAACAGGATAATCAATGCATGCATAGCTTTCCTTACAAATTATATGTAAGCTGAGGTCAATCACACTTTAAAAAAATAAAGATAAGTCACTCTAGTTTTCCACTGTTAATTTTTATTGAGTATATCTTTCAGTTATTTACAAGAATCTAGAATCTTAGAACTTACGACACAAAGTGCTCACACTCCAGTGAAGATGTGTGTGTGTGCACACCGACATAACACACACAAAACTGATACACAGAAGAAAAATTTGAAGCAGCTTATTTACCTGTTTTTTCTATCGTGGTAGCTTTTACATGCTTGACAACTTTTTCATCTATGATAGGAAAAAAGTTAACACAGTGGACATTTTAAATGCATCAGTTCAAAACAGTGACACATTTCAACCTTGATATTTTGTATTCTCTTTGAAATAACACCAATACTGAGACAACCTTAGCTGTTTTCTCAGTTAAACAAGTGATATCTTTTATTCAAATTGGATGGGAGCACAAAGAAAATCTGTCCAGCTGCAGATGTCCTTTGCAAGTTTCTTGCCACAAAACTTTTTCTAATTCAAATGTCCCCTAACCCCTAATCGAAGTACACTTCATCCTTTGCCTTCACTGTATTTCACTGTATTTACCTATACAGGAGTACACATAAAACACATGATCTCTTTTCATTATTGAATAAGAATAGGGAGAAACAATTTTTTATCTTTCATGAGCAAGACACCTCCCTGAGAAGGCAGGACTAGCCCAAAACCCCAAGTTTTTATGTCACAAAGATGCGGAAGGGCAAAGGTGGTATATTTATGGGATGTTTTCTGTGCTGTAGATTTTTGTAGACATAGTTAAAGAGATTTGGATCAAAGTAAAGGGATTAGAATAAAGATTCTGTATAAAATCAAGCTTTGCAAGTATTCAGCAGTGGGAATGAATTGGTGAAATATCCTAATTGGAAAGTTTCACTTGGAAACAGAATTTAGAGTATGAACATGATCACTGAAATAAAAGATGTGGCTAGAGGGGAAGGCCTTTGTTAGACACTCAGAGATGAAACTCTCTCCTGTTCTCAGGATTTCATCTCAAAAATGGGTGTCATTTGGGACAATAAAGAAACAGGGTTTATTATTCATGATATTAGAAGGTCCTAAAAGTTGTTTCTAAAATTTTGCTTATGTCAGTACAGACTGCTTTTCTTACCTCCCCACATCAGGCTCTGCTTTCCTTATTTCTATCGACTCAAATCGACTGAAAACAGATTTTCTAAAGTAAAATCTTAAAAATATAAGCAGAAGTTTCCTAAGATATGTTTGGAGAAGGTATTTTTACCTTTTTAAAGATTCTGACCTAACCATATTCACAATGTCAGATAGACGATTCAGCCTGGAATAAAGGACCATGTTCTACAGAACAACTGGGAATTGGTACAACCTCAAAATTAAACTCATATTTAATTGGGTTAAATTAAAATTTAAATAAAGTTTCTATTTTTAAATAAAAACTAATGATTAAACTAGTCTTGGTAATTTTTCTATTTCTCTTTATGAGCAGAACCTATCGGCCTACCTCCACTTTCTATAAAGTATAAAGCTAGGAATAAGAAGAAAGGAAGGGAAGCAAAAATGAAGGAAAGAAGGAAGAAGAATGAGAAGCAGGAGGAAATCGCTTTTTTATTTCCTTTTCTTGAGATTTTTGGAATTGAAGATGATCACATTTGAATGGGCCATTCTGAATTACAAGTTTTCTAGGGATGTCTTACCCCAAACAGAACAAAGCAAAACAAAATTTAGAGCCCATTCAACTGAATGGGCATTTAGCATTCAAGTGAATGCTGGCAAAAATGGTCTTTGAGCTAAGCTAAGTTTCTGATACGAAAAGATCATGAGCTATCTAGTTATATCTGGCAGGCCAAGTTCTCAGCACAAAAAAGAAACCAAAACAAAACACTGGGAAGATGACTAAAATTAGAAGCTGAGTGACTTAACATATGAATCTTTCCTAATAACTTTAGATTTGACTCTAAGCTCATCACCCTGCTAAAATTAGAACACTGAGAGACAGTTTGATATTATAAATACCACCTGCAAAATACCTGGTTTACCATGAGAAATAGCCTTTGCTGGTTTCACTGTGTCTTGTTCTGAAAACAATAAAAAGAAAGTATTTTTGGATGTGTGTGTTAGTCACTCAGTCATGACTAACATTTGTACTCTTTGCAACCCCATGGACTGCAGCCCACCCACCATTCCCCCTGTCCCCTGTCCATGGAATTTTCCAGGCAAGAATACTGGAGTGGGTTGCCATTCCCTTCTCCAGAGGATCTTCCTGACCTAGGGATCGAACCCAGGCCTCCCACATGCAGGCGGATTCATTTCCAGCTGAGCCATAAAAGGAGTCCAAGAATATTGGAGTAGGTAGCCTATCCTTTCTCCAGGGGAACTTCCTGATCCAGGAATCCAACTGGGGTCTCCTGCATTGCAGAAGCATTCTTTACCACCTGAGCTACCAGGGAAGTCCTTTGGATATTTAGAAGCTTTATAAATTAACATATGGTGAATTTTCTCTGTGACATGGTCCAGTGATTTGTTAAGTAGAAAATAATTGACAGATTTGAACAAACATGTTCCTCAATTTTCATGTCATCCTAGTTTAGATAAAAAAAACTTTAAGGTTTTGGTTGTATGAAAACAATATACCAAGATTTCTTATTTAAATTTAAGCCCCTATAATTTCCAAAACATAGGCCATCATAAAGCACAAATACTGAGACATATATTGCATATATATTACTAAAATATTTAATTTTTTGTTAAAATTCTATATTAGCTTTAAAGGTAAAATAAAGATACATACTGTGTATTTGAGATTTTTCAGATGAAGCTAGAACATAAACATTTATAATATAAAAAATCAATTTATTTTGCCTGCAAAATTGTAGTATTTATAATAATAAATGAAGTTCTAAATAGTACTACACCTAGACAGAGTTTTAAATGGTATTGGTCTTCTGATTAAAAAATAAAAAGGAGGCAAAACGCAAAATGTTTATATTGGGTAACACATACTCATCTGCAGCCAATAAATATACTCAGGAAAATAAATCATAAGACAGTAGTTTGGCACTTTTAAACCTTGGTACATTAAAAAGACATATTTTTTATAAGAGAAACTAGACTCCAGTTAATGATGAGCTGTCAAGTAAGCTCTAGTGAGAATTAAAGGAATAATATAGTATTGTATATATACATCTAGACTTGGATTTTTGAGTTTGTTGTTATTTAAGAATCCTGCTACATAATTTTTTATAATGAAGAAATAGCATCCATAGAGCCTGAGGGTTTTTTTTTAACTTGCCTCAGGTGAGTAGCTAGTTGGTACCAGAGCTAGGCCTTACACACATTAAATAGCAATGTAAATTTGGAAAGATCGTTCCGATTTAGGTCAATGTTGCCTCTTAATAAAATCATTGTTAGTCTCTTAGTGAGATTACCCAGGGTTTTGAGTAGATCAAAAATGGGCACAATTCTAGCTTCAACATTTATTAACTTGAAAATTTTGTCTATTGAACTGTTTCCACAGATACTAAATATGGGTAATAACTGTTATGGTACATGCCTCTCACAGTGAAATGATGAAAATTGAATCTTACACTATTCCTTAGCTCATAGCAGATGCTTGATAAATTCTTGTTCTCTTTTCTTTCAAGTCCCGGTAGTCTATGATTTTGTGACTCTGGTGTGTTATCAGAAATAAACTCACAAATTAAATATGACTAACACTAGAGTTTGAAGAACTCTAAGAAATGTCTCTTGAAACCTGGAGTCTCTGCTGACATTCATTTAAAGCCATATTCCAGATATTTTGCCTATGGAATATCTCCATTCTCACCTAATCCAGTGTTGTAAAAACACATGGAATAATGGGGTAGGGAAAACAGTGAGGATGTGGAAGACACTGTGTAAATCTCCACTGGTGTCATTTTAGTTCTAAAATAACAGCAACATTAGCTCTGTATCTATTTAAGAATAACATATTGTTACCTGGTTTTGCTTCCTTTTTAACTTGTGACTCTGAAGGGGAAACAAAAGACAGAAATTTTAAAATCTGAAAAAAATAAACTAGAGCACAAATTCATTTTCGGACACTATTTTATTTCATTTACCATAATGTGAAAAAGCAGAATTTTAGCAAAACTTATCTTAGTTTCCTACTGGCCTGCCAGTATTGGACTATTAAACACACAGTAGTGAAAATCATGCCACATACTTGTCTGTCATTAAGTTGTTGCTACTGCTAATGGATTTCAACCTCAATTTTCTGTTTTCTGAAGATTATTGTAGAGAATAGCCCCAGTGTCCACATAAGATAAATGACTTGATGATAGGATTGGGAAGAATATTTTTTGAAATATATCTGGTTGTGATTCAGAAATGTAGACAATTTATGACCTGAAATATATGCTTGCTGTGGTTCAGCCTCTCAGTCGTGTCTGATTCTGCAACCTCATGGACTGCTGCATGCCAGGTTTCCCTGTCCTTCACCATCTCCTGGAGTTTGCTTAAACTATATGCTACACACACACACACACAAATATGTTTAACTCCTGTTTGTTGGGTAGAAGGTGGGGTTTGTAAGTGAAGGACACGGATCTTTAGTTTAGAAAACTCTGAGTAGAGTGTGGAAAATACAGCGTGGATTCTCTTCACTGCTTATAATAAAATGAGAAAGAAAAGATAAATTGAGGAGTAAACTGCTATGCAAGAGGAACCAGTACTTGGTGATTGAGAAAATGCTCACCCTGACTAGACAGTGCACCCTGGAGACAGGACCAAGGGTGTGGCTGGACAGAATCATGGATCCAATCCTCCACCTCAGCAGAAGGCAGAAAGAGAGATGTGGTGACCCAGGGAGATCTGTGGGGGACTCTCTTGTCCAAAGACTTGGATCTTCAGGAACTGAACTCAAGATGAGTCATGTTTTTGAAAATTTTATGCAAACAAAAATAATGCTAGCCTGGACAGAAGTGGACAGAAACAGGATGAAATGAAAGAATATCAACTCTAATGGCCAAGCCATGATGCAACAGCTGGAATGATGGGACTTCCTTGGGTAGAGAGGGCGGGACTGCCATCCCAGTGGGCCGAGAGGCCAGGGCCACCATCCCCTCCCCCTAGGTCCAGAGAACACAGCACTGAATCAAAGAGGACATTTTCAGGCTTTGATACCTAATGGAATCTTCCCCGCTATGTTTCGGATTTACCTGGGACCTGTGACCCCTTTTCTTCCTTCCAATTTTCCCCCTTTGGAATGGGAATATACATTCTAACCAGTTTCATATTTTTGTTTTTTTGGAAACAGATGATAGTTTTGTAGTTTCACAAGTGGAGAGGAATTTTATGAAAGGAGAATCATATCCTGAGTTTTACTCGTACTGATTTAGATAATGAGATATGAGGCTTTGAATGGATAAAGTTTTGGACTTAAGTGATGCTAAAATTATTAGGACTCTTAGGAATGTTGAAATGGGGTGAATGTATTTTGCTACATGCGAAGGATATGAACTTTGGAGGGGTCACAGGGTAGACCTTTGTAAATTGACTTGTGTCACCCTAAAGGATATTCTGCAGTCGTAATCCCCAGCACCTCAGAAACAAACAAAAAGTGAAAGTGTTAATTGCTCAATCGTGTCCGATTCTCTGTGACCCAATGGACTGTAGCCCATCAGGCTCCTCTGTCCATGGGGTTTCTCAAGCAAGAATACTGGAGTGGGTAGACACTGCCTCATACCCTGGTACATCTTGATTTCAAACATTTAACATCCAGAACTGTACGAGAATATATTTCTGTTGTTTTTAACCACCTAGCTTGTGGTATTTTATTACAGCAACCTCATAACAATGGACTGGTTCAAAACTGGGAAAGGAGTATGTTAAGGCTGTATATCATCACCCTGCTTATATAACTTATATGCAGACACATCATGAGAAATACCAGGCTGGATGAATCAGAAGCTGGAATCAAGATTGCTGGGAGAAATATCAATAACCTCAGATATGCAGATAATATCACACTGATGGCAGAAAGCATAGAAGAACTAAAATGCCTCTTGACAAAGGTGAAAGAGGAGAGTGGAAAAAGCCGGCTTAAAACTCAACATTCAAAAATCTAAGGTCATGGCATCCCGTCCCATCATTTCATGACAAATAGATGGGGAAGCAATGGAAACAGTGACGACTTTATTTTCTTGGGCTCCAAAATCACTGCAGATGGTGACTGCAGCCATGAAATTAAAAGATGCTTGCTCCTTGGAAGAAAAGCTATGACAAATCTAGACAGTATATTAAAAAGCAGAGATATCACTTTGTCAACAAAGGTCTGAATGTCAAAACTAGGTTTTTTTCCAATAGTCATATACAGATGAAAGAGTTGGACCATAAAGAAGGCTGAGTGCTGGAGAATTGATACTTTTGAATTGTGGTGCTGGAGAAGACTCTTGAGAGTCCCTTGGACTGCAAGGAGATCAAACTAGTCATTCCTAAAGGAAATAAACTGTGAATACTCATTGGAATGACTGATGCTGAAGCTGAAGCTCCAGTATTTTGGTCACCTGATGGGAACAGCCAACTCATTAGAAAAGTCCCTGATGCTGGGAAAGATTGAAGGCAGGAGGAGAAGGGGGCGAGAGGATGAGATGGTTGGATGGCATCATTGACTCAATGGACATGAGTTTGAGCAAACTCCAGGAGATAGTGAAGGACAAGAAAGCCTGGTATGCTGCAGTCCGTGGGATTACAGAGTCGGATATGACTTAGTAACTAAACAACAAGATAATGCTAATATGGTTGGGAGACATGAGTCAAAAGTTAACTGTTTTGAAAATCATTGTTGAAAATCAGGCACTTTTAAATAGTGCCTGCTGCCTGCTATTGCCCTCAGAAATGTTCATCTGACTCAGGAGCCCCCCAAAATTAGAAGAGTAAGAGCAGCTGTTTCTCTGACAGGATGTCTGTGTTCTACAGCAATCAGCAAAAAATAGTCTTTAGTCATTTGTTTCTTCTGAACTATATAAATTTATCAGTGATTTCATCTTTGTAAATAGGACTTTTTCTAGGAAAAGGTAGTATATGCTTGTTTTATTTTAAAAAGTTTTTCAAGAATAAAATTTTAGTATAATATTTGCACTCAGAATATTTGCAAAAAGATATGCTATTCATGGGGTTTTCTGGGAGGCTCAGCAGGTAGAGAATCCGCCTGGAATACAGGAGACTCTGGTTTGATTCCTGGGTCTGGAAGTTCCCCTGGAGAAGAGATAGGCCACCTACTTCAGCATTCTTGGGCTTCGCTGATAGCTCAGATGGTAAAGAATTGAACGCATGGGGACTTGGCTTCAATCCCTAGGTTGGGAAGATCCCCTGGAGGAGGGCATGGCAATACATTCTAGTATCCTTGCCTGGAGAATCTCCATGGACAGAGGAACCTGGTGGGCTACAGTCCATGGGGTTGCAAAGAGTCGGACATGACTGAGTGACACAGCATGGCACAGCACATGCTATCGTTAGAAACATGGAGTGCAAGCATCAATCTACACATTAAATGTACATACCTGGCTTCTCTTGTTTTTTCACTTGTGGCTCTAAAAATGAGTAAACATTAGTAATTATGATTGTATAAAAGTAGTTATTTCCTATGCTCATGCATATTTCTTTTATGTATTATTTATTATTTTCTAATCATCAATATATTTAATTTTCCTCTTCTTAGTGCAGCAGACTAAGACACACACAAGTAAAGATTCCTCATTATCAACCACAATAAGAATTACTTTGAGAAAACATTGGAAATGTGTACTAAGGATTTTAATGAGAAATTAATGAAAGGTATTAACTTGTTCATGCAAGGAATGAGGGATGAAGGGAAATTTCAGCATAGCAAATCCTCAGAAATACAAGATAACCAGCACATTATCTACACAAAATAGTTAAACCTTTGACTTTATGTAAAACACTAAACAATAGAATCAGAGGATGAGTAAAGCATGCATTTAAGATTTTTTTAATATTTGGCATGCACATAACATACGTGGAGACTTGGGCTTAACTTCTTTGCCTAGAAAAAGTTTAAAAATGATTAAAAACGGAGTCATTTCATTGTTATTGGATCAACATTGTGCATGATAGAATATTACATGTTTGAAAATCAAACACTGTAGATCTCAACTATATTTATTGAAATTTTTATAGGATAAGTACTTTAATGTCCAAGCCAAGTTACTAATTGAAAAATCATTTAAAATAACAGCAGTTTAGTTTCATGGCACCTCCAAAAGATACTAATTTCACAAACTCTTATATATAATGTTAACTGTTTAATCTAATGTTAAGGTAGAAGATATCATTTTGAGAAATTACTTTTAGCCTTTCATTACCCAAAACGAAAAATTCAAGACTACTGTTTTCATTTCCATTAACATTATAAATATGTTATTATTTCCAGTATGATATATTATGAAGTGACTGCTGCTGAATATGCAATTCTTGATGATCTAAAGTATACTATATGAATTTATTGCATATTGGATTCTTAGTGTAAGGGTTCTCAAATTTTCTGTGAAAGTTCATATATATATATATTTGTTTTTTTTTTTTCACTTTGGAGCCATATGATCTCTGTTGGAGAGCTATGGAGATTTTTTTTGGAGCCACTATTTAACTCTGCTGTTGTAACACAGAAGCAGCTACAAACACTATGTAAATGAATAGACTGGCTATGTTCCAATAAAACTTTACTTACACAAGCTGGTAGCCAGTCTGCAGGACATTGTTTGCCAACCTCTGTCCTATCCATAGTCAATTTTAACTTTCTCTCTTGTCTCAACAAAGATTTTAACAGCAAGCAAAGCATCTTTGATTCTGAATTCCCGTATAAATAGCACTCAATACCTTTCAATCACTGCTCAACTAAACTTCCAAAGAATGTCATCTTTACTTGCTTTTTCCATTTGTTGACTCCAATTTAATTATTAATTCACTATCATCCAGCATCTATTTCCAATGTTATATTTATTAGACATCTGTGGTCACCAATTCTCCTTAGTTTCCAATCTCAATGAACATATGTAATTATGTGGATCACTTTCTTCTTTCTAAATTTCTGTTCACTTGTCTTCTGGGAAGGAGGAACATAACACTTTCTACTATAAGATAAACATTATACCGTTCTCTTCACTCTCAAAAGTGTCCTAGTGACTTTCCCTTCTAGCTAAGATAAACTAAAGGAACTTGATTTGTTTTCGTACTTGAAACCATATGAAACAGAAGAAAATCATATAAGGTTGGACAACAGACAATAGAGGGCAGTGACTCTTAGGTGATGAAAAACAAATGAGGTGTGCTCTATAATTATCCCAGCTTAATGCTGTGACAGAGTTGCAGCCAGTTAGTACAGTCATGGAGCGGATTTGGTGACATCTAGCTAGGAATCTTGAGAAACAAAAACAATGAGAGATCAGTGGTCAGAATAATGTGAAGTGTTAGTTGCTGCGTCATGTCTGACTCTTTGTGACCCCTTGGACTGTAGCCCACCATGGTCTTTGCCCATAGAACTGTCCAAGCAAGAATACTAGCGTGGGTAGCCGTGCCCTTCTCCAGGGGATCTTCCTGACCCAGGTCTCCTGTGTTACAGGCAGTTTCTTTGCTGTCTGAGCTACCAGGGAAGCACCAGAATAATGTAAAGTAGGAAGCTAAAGATACTAGAAAGAGATAGAAAAGAGATAAAGTCGGGAATTTGTGGAAGGCTCCCTCAAGTCTTCAGCAAGTACTGACTAGCATATGCACATAAAGAAACTACTTAAGGTAGAGAAAGAAATATAAATATTACTACTGCAGCCTATAGTAAGTGTTGAAGTTGGGTAGTGTCAGCTCATCAGCTTTGTTCGTTTTTTTTCAATTTTGTTTTGGCGATTCTGGATTTTATTCTGATCCATGTAAATGCAACCCACTTCAGTACTCTTGCCTGGAAAATCCCATGGACAGAGAAGCCTGGTAAGCAACAGTCCATGGGGTCGCAGGGTTGAACGCGTCTGAGTGACTTCACTTTCACTTTATGTAAACTTTAAAATTACTTAGTCAACATGCACAAAATAACTTGCCAAGATTTTAATGGAAACTGCACTGAATCTATAGATCAAGTTGGGAAGAACTGACATCTTGATACTGAATCATCCAATTTACATTTTATAAAGGGAATATCTCACACTTTATGGAAACATTTCCATTTCTTGATTTTTTTCTATCAGAGTTTTCTTTCCTCCATTTTTTTTTTTTTTTTAACTAGGGTTCAGCTATCTCTTCCTCAGAAAGCATTATCTGATATGGTTGCACAACTTTTACCCTTTATGTGCCAACATTATGTTTAGGATATCATGATCATTGTTAAGCACAATCTACTGTCTAGAACATTCATCTTCCTTCATCTGCCTAAATCCTAATGATTATTCAAACCAGTTCTGGGGTCTGTGGTGAGACTGGCCACTCATCACACTCTCCTCCTATGAGGATGGGCTGCCCAGGCTTGGGGAAGGGGAGTGCAGGGAAGGTGGATCTATTTTTCCCATACTCCTCAATGTATCTTTACTTATTTCTTTGCTTCACTCAGGTGTTTTAACCCCTCACCCAGAATCCTTAGCTCTTGTGAAGTTATTTTCACTCACAGATAGTTGTTAGATTTGAAGTTTCTTGAGAGGAAATGAACATTAGAAATTCCTGTATCATCACCTTGCTAATGTCAGTCCTAAATATCCTTTAGCTCTTTTACGTTCCTGCTTTCTTGATCTTATACACTCAGCTATAACAGTATATAATACCAATTTAAAGTCTGATGATACTTCACAGGCAAACACACTTGCAGATATATGAATGAATAAAATGCATGTAAATGTCTGTTTATAGATGGTCTAAGCCTATATATTTCCTAAGGTCCATATTTAGGATGCAATAAACATAAGGACAAGTGTAGAATGATTTTTGGAGGAGAATTCTGTTAAGGCAGTGGTTTCAAACAGCAACACCACCTGGGAATTTAAAAATGTAAATTCTTAGTCCCATCCCTGACCTTCAGAATCATAAGCTCTAGGGGTAGGCCAGCCCATCAGGTATATCTGACACATGTTACAGTTTGAGAACCATTGTTTGATAACCATGACTACATTTGTTAATAGCATCCCTTTAACAAGAAAACTAGGGCTACTTTTTTTTTTACAATTCTGAATTCCAGCTAATGGTATATGTTATATTTCAGCAAACATAGTTTAATTAAAATCAGAGAAAGCCTTCCACCGACTGAGACAAACAGATAAGCTAAAAAAGAACATGCTTATGTTGATTATAATGTGTCAACTTTTCAATGCAGATGACAGCAATATTCCCAATGTTTGTGATTGAGATCTGGAAAGTGTGATGTGAAATCAAACTCGTATAAAACAAGAATATTTTATTTTTACAAAGAAAGCCAAATCATTGTAACTTTGATGTTCTCATGGAAGTAGTAATTGACTCCACATTCACAGAATACATTTCAAATAGTAAGCAGCAATATGATAAGTATATACAGACATAAATATATCTGCTCACTATGGAGATTTTAGTTTTTTCTGTTTCTATTGTAGCTTTTATATTTTCTATATTATCTAAATAAACTGAATTGTATTAAAAACATGTCAGTGCAGTATTTCCTATTTCTACTCTTACAATGCATATATTTAAAAGAATAATTGGTTATATTTCAACAAATAAAAAAGAATAAAGTAAAAGGAAACAAATAAAGAGCCAACATATTCTAAAATGTTAGACACATGAATGATAAAAATCACAGCATTTTAAAATTATATACATAAAAGAAAAAATAGCCTATCTATATCTATACATAAAGGAAATTTGAAAGTAACATCTGACAAAATTAATAAAATTTTGACCTAGTACAATCAGAAACTATATATTTTGTAGGACACTGGAACAGGCAGTGATAAGATATCTTAAGTGTTGGGTCTAATTCTCATTCAGACACTCATTTACTGTGGAACCTTGACATGGCCATTTAATTTGCTTGGTTCTCCTTTTCCAAAAAGAAAATAAATGTAGAAAGCTAGATTAGATGATTTCTAAGATACCATCCAGGTTTTAAATAATATATTTACATTAAATATTAATTTAAATCTAAATAGTAGATCACTTTTACTAGGTGACATAGTTTAGATGGTCAACCTGAAGCATTGCAGCAGTAACTCCTCTTAGGTTTATTGCTCTTTAGTAAGTCTGTTTACTCAATTCCTGATAGATCCTGATAGATCTGTGCTGCTGTGGAAGCACATTTGTAAGTATAAGGCAGATTAACAAACCTTGTTTTTAAGACCAGTGATTTTGTTTCAGATATATCTCTTACACAGCTATTTAGTACAGAGCAGAAAATGGTTCTGTTGTAGATATATATCTTAGCCCCAAAGAACTACTTAATAGGCACTTTGCCTTTTAAATTGACTTGGAGATTAATATCTAAACTTTATGCTATATATATTGAATAAACAAGCCATTTGGAGGAGGCAAGGAAATGTCATAAGGACTTTTATGTATGCCTGAATTGATTCAAAGATCCTATTACATTTTACTAGAAGTCACTATTTCGCTACATGTTTCAATAAATTTTTAAACTTCTAATTATCAAAATTAAAATGGAAAAGTACAAATGTTAAATATATAAAATACACTGCAAAACCCTAAAAGGAAATCTTCTCTGATTTGTATATGAACTTTTTCCTACAGAGGCAACCAACTTATCAAATGTACTATGTATTGTTACTTTGTTGAAACAAAAATACAGTATTATTTATTTAATGTTCACAAATATATTTTTAGAATATATTTATATTCTAATATATATTTATATTTAATGAAAACAGAGAGTTACCATTATTTATGTAGTGCCAGAAATCAGGAAAACAAAATACAATTAAGGCTTTTAAAAAAAGCTTTTAGTCCTCTAGAAACCATTTGGTAAGCAAGAATTGCCTTTAACACTTGAAACTAAATTTCCAGAATAATTTTATTTCATAATAG